TTCAGTCTCTAGTACTCTAGTAGTGAAGAGAAGAATCATGCTGTAGTGGCGCTTGTGTTTGAATCCTAAGTCTTCCTCTTAGCAGCTTAGTAATGTCAAAAATACTTTTACTCCTCCCCACCACACTCTGACTTTCTAGCATGTAAAAATGGGACTCAAATTTATTTGCACTACAGTTCTTTGGATCAAATTATTCTGTGATAGTGCCAAGCCTTCTGTCTGGTACATAGAGAGATCTATAAACATTACGTTTTTTTTTCTACTGTTATCTGAAATGTCAGACAATATTGAAAATTATGTGAAAACCAAATACCCTAAATTGGCTTAACAAAATACCTGAGAAAGAGAGAACTTAATAGTCCATTCTAACAGCTGGTGGACTGCTGGGCAGGAAGAAGACAATGACAAACTGAGACACGTGAGGCACTAACACATGAGAACTCAATAAATAATAGAATTTACATTTTTCTTGATTGCCAAAGAAACAATCTTTAAACTACTCCTTTTATATATCAGAAATGCCTAGAACATTAAGCAGTAACTATATGTCAATGCTGAACTAAGAATTTCAGAATTTTATTATTTAAACCTTATCAGCAAGTGGTACAGACAGGATTTGAACCCAGTAATACGATGCCAAAACTCTTAATCATTGTCTGCCTACCTATTAATAACACATGTGGGTTTTAAAACCTCATAGTCAATTTTCTTTGCTGGGAATAACCAACATTTCTTAACCTCCCACTGATGTTTTACAATATGAAATACTAGCCCATGCTTGATAAAGAATTAAGACATTTTCCAGGCAAAAAACTATGGCTAGGGGTCTGGGGCTGTAGCTCATTGGTAGAGTACTTGCCTAGCATGTGTGAGGCACTGGGTTCAATCCTAAGCACCACATAAAAATAAATAAATAAAGCTACTGTGTCTATCTACAACTAAAAAAAAAAATTAAAAAAACCTCATAGCTACCTATTCTACAAAATATATAAAGCATATTAAATCTGAATCTAATTACTGTTATCAAATCATTAATTCCAGTCCTGATAATATTAAAGTATTTTGTAATTCTTACATAAAGTATATGCTTTGCACATAGTAATGCATTTACTGATTACTTAGTTACAGCAGATAAAGAATCAAAATTATAATGTAGAAAGTTTTCTGCATTCTGAATATTTATCAATATCTATAAGCTTTCTCTAGCAGTGAAGAGGATAAGATTAATATTGAATATTAAACAAAACAAAGATGGCCAGTGATGTAGTAGGTACCCACCCTACCAGTCTCTTTCACCAAACCCTCTTGTTGTCTTCCAATAATGTGAAGGCTTCCTCCATCTTTAAAGATACCTACTATCTTTCATCACTTGTCATTATTTAAAATCACTTAGAATTCATATTAAGTGAAAAAATATTTACATATTTTCAATGGGTCTTTCCAGTCACTTAATAAAGAAACAATTAAAAAAAATAAACATGCTTGAAATTTCTCATTATGGAATTCACATTATAACCTTATGCTTGGCCTCAGGAACGTTACATGAGGTCAGATTTGAGTTCAAGGTAGAGAAAAGGGATTAAAACATGTAGCAGTTTTTGTGGGGCTCCATGTGTGTGGTGTGTGCATGTGTTTTTTAAAGTGTAATTGATTAAATACTCCTGTTTCTCTGTCTAGAAAAAAACAGATCACAATCCAGAAAAGCTTGCTTTACCACAAATATCAAACCTGTATTGGGCTACAAGGAACAAAGGACTAAGATCTCTTTTAATACATGTTATACTTTAGATAATAAAGAGTATACAGTATTATATTCTCATGAAATTCTGCTCTAGCAAAACCTCCATTTTTATGGAATGTCATATCCCCTTATCTGATTTATTGCTTCTCTGGCAGATTCTGTCAGCTTTATGAGCCACATTAAGCCCTTGTTCTGTATAGCCAGAATTTTAAAATAATAATAATAATAATAACAACAACAAAAAAAAAGAATACACACACAAAAACTTGTTTTCTGAAAGTAAAAAGTGAAAGAAAAATGAAACCTCATAATTTCTCTGGTTTATTAGTAAATAACTCCTAGAAAAGGGGTAGGTAAATATTAAATGAACAAAAGATCTTTAATTACACATCAATTCATCATTCCCCCATCAGTATGTATCACAATTTAAAAGTATGATGGTGAATAAGTGGATTGTTAACTTGGAATACTCTAAAAACAACACAACAGTAATAATAACTAAATAGCCAGTAAGATTCCAGCTGAAGGAAACATCTTAAGGATGAAGACCAACAACTTGTTACATATTTAAATTGGTTAGCTAGAAAGTCTTTTTAAAAGGTTAATATTTCAAGTGGAAATGTTATATTAACTTAAAAAATCTGATATATCCATTTGGATCCAGCTTACCCATCATTGTAAACAAGCAATGAGGCTGAAATATGGGCCAATTTCTAAAAACCTGAACAATCCAAAAATGGATAATTGGATTATAAGTGATTAACATATTTTCTAAGCAAACCAAAATCCACATTTCACAGATCATAGCAACTCCCCATGATTCAGTTTGTATTTCCATATTTCCATATAGTCTTATAAACAGAAGACATGATGTGTGTAAAACATCACACTTTGACACTCTAAAATTAAAATATTCCATGTATATACAGATGGATAAATTAATTATACATTATTTTACCAGCTTATTAAAGCTGATGGCCCATGGTGCATTTGTTTTTCAGTCCTTTGTATTTAGGTTTAATTGCATTACTTGAAAGTAATCAATCTACTACAGTTCAAAACAATTTTCTATGTATACTTTTCAATATTGTTGTCCTCCAGTTTAGAAATCACTGACACTCTACTGAATAAAATCAAGTATGAATGAAGTCCAGTAGATGCCAACTTGATCACTAAGATGGCCAAGGAAATATAAAGGAAACCTTCATTAGTATTAAAACCTTGGGAAGGGTATCAGCAACACTACATACTCCAAACCTCCAGGGATAGTGAATGAAGAATCAGAATAGGGAAAGTATACACACCAGAATTACAAAGTGTGAAAGAACAACTCAACTGTTTGGAGATACAACATCTGCCTGAAAGCACAAAGAATGGACCTAACAATAAGCAATGAAGAACACGACACAGAATCCAGACCCCACAAATATGCAAAGATAAATGGTTAATTATGGCAATAATCACAATAATAATAATAAATTAACAGTGAGCTGGCAGCGGTGGCACACACTTATAATCCCAGTGGCTTGGGAAGCTGAGGCACGAGGATGGCAAGTTTGAAGCCAACCTCATTAACTTAGCAAGGCCCTAAGTAAATCAGCGAGACCCTGTCTCTAAATAAAACATAAAAAAAGGGCTAGGTATATGACTTAATTGTTAAGCGCCTCTGGGTTCAATCCAGTACCCCCCCCCCAAAAAAAATTAACAGTGAAAAAAACCTAAATGTTCATTTGTTTGAGAAACTGGTATATTATTTTATGCAAATACTGGAGTATTACATATGTGTAAATTTTCATTGACATGGAATGAGTTCCATAACATACTGTTGAGGTGGGGGGAAAAGAAAATTAAAAATAACATGTACATTATGAACAATTATACACATGGAGAGAGAGATGCAACAATTACCATCAAGATACTAATGGCAGTTTCCTTTGGGTAGATGAAAAAATTAAACAGTAATTTAAATTTTCTTCTTTCTAATGATTCATATTGCTTAAATTTTTAAAATAAGTATATATTCTCTTTCTGATCAGAAAAAAAAGTTATCTTCATGTTAGAAAAGAGTATATTTGGGCTGGGGTTCAGTGGTAGAGTGCTTGCCTACCACATGTGAGGTACTGGGTTCAATCCTCAGCACCACATAAAAAATTAAAAAAAGTATTGCATCCATCTACAACTAAAAAAAAATTAAGAAAAAAAGAGTATATTTATTTTTTAATACTATAATTCAATCTGGTACAAATTACCCTAAAAAAATAGAAAAATTCATGAAGCTACAGACTCAAAGACATTTATCACAACAGTCTTTTTTATAGAAAATATTAGCAATAATCTAAATGATCAATGGTAAATTTAATAAACTAAATTATAGCATGCCAAAAAGTCATTAAAAATTAAGAATACATCTATCATCTCAAAGCTCAGTTACTTAAATGTCTCTCAGTTTCCTTGTCAGTAAAAAGGGGGATGTAAAGAGCTCTTACTTGGTTCTGTTTTCCCTAGCATATCAGCTTTACCCTATCATAATAAAAGAAAAATATGATGTTTGTGAGCTTCCTCTGATACCACATATTTTAAAAATTACTTTGCTATCTGCTTTTGAAATATATTTCAAGATGAACATTCAATTTGCCATCAAGCAAGATAGCCATCCGAACTTAGGCTTAAAGAGAAATTAAAATTATGCTACAGTGAATATAAAAGGTGAAAACAGAGCTGGGCTTGGTGGTGCACACCTGTAATCCCAGCTACTCAGAAGGCTGAGGCAGGAGGATCACAAGTTCAAAGCCAGCTTCAGCAATTTAGTGAGGGCCTAAGCAACTCAGCAAGACCTTGTCTCTAAAATAAAAATATTAAAAGGGCTGGGCATGTGGCTCAGTGTTTAAGCGCCCTAGGCTCAATCCCCAGTACCAAAAAAAAAAAAAAAAAGTTGAAAACAGGGAATGTCTACAACTTCTAGATTAATGGTGAAAACAACAAACAAACAAAAACCCTCCTATATATATTCACAAAATAAGTTTGTTTATTCACCTCTACATGTAGCAAAATAGTGTTGGAAAACAGATGAAGGTCAACCTAGATGCCCTGGTACTGGGACAGGCCCCAATAAGAAACCACCTAGGTTATACCAACAGAAAAATTGGTATCCCTACTTAACTGAACAACAAAATTTAATATTTACATACTAGTTTTCTTTATTACTTTTATTATCATTATACCAAAGTATATTTTGTTGCTTTAAATAATTAAAACCAACCTGCCATGGTCTTTCCCAATCCAGTGGAATAGGAAATGCTCCAAGCCAAGCTCCTACAAAACTAGAAATTGTAGTGATCTGGAGACTATTCTCCCAAATGGATGTAACTCTGTAAAACACATAGATACAAATCATTGGTGGTCTATATCTTAGCTGCTGGAGAATCAATCAGATAGCACAAATTAACACTATTCATACATTTTCTGTTCATTTAAAATGAGCATCTCAAATTGATTTAGATATTTACCATGAACTATTAAAAACTAATTGGTAAAAAAAATGTATTTCCATTGGAAAGGTAATTGGAAAGGTACAGTAAGAGTCAAACAATACAAAAGAACATTATACAGTGACAACAAAATCTTCTTCCCACCTGTTATCATCAATTTCTGGTTCCTTTCCCCAGAGGCAACTGCTATTTCTAAACTACTACATAACCTTTAAGAGATATTTTATACATGTACAAATATACACACAATTTTTTTGAAGGATTTATGCATATTTGCATAAATGAAGTGTAATAGTGTATGTAACCTTTAAAACAAAACTCAAAACAGGCATTATTATTTTATGTATATATGTGACTGTATGACTGACCAGTATGATTCTACAACATGTACACTCAGAAAAAATGAGAAATTATATCCCATCAATGTATATCAAAGTGCATAAATGCATTCTATTGTCATGTATAACTAATTAAAAAAATTTAAAAATTTTTAAAAAGAAAAAAAACCCCTCAAATGCATCATAATAATATGGTCTATATATATGGTCTATATTTGGTCTATAAAGACCAAATTTTGCTTTTTTTGTTTTCCTTTGTTAATAGCTATTATAGTATTTCAGGCACATCACTTCCTGTATTCCAATATAGAAGAGTCGTGTATTACTTACAGGTTAGTCAACATTTGTCAGCCACATATAGTCAAAAATTACTAGTCAGTTTCTTCAATTAGCATTCAGCAGAACAGAGAGTTCTTCCAATATTAGAGAAAGAAAAGAATTAACTGAGTTGAATATAAAAAGAGAATTATACTGCTCAGGCAATGTTAAGGATTCTGTAGGGTAATTTTTGCCTACATGTGGCTGACAAACAGTGCCTAGCCCCCATGTCACACATGACTGACTCTTCCACATTGCAATACAAAAAAAAGTGAGGTGCCAGGAGACATAAAGTGTGGGAGAGACTGAAAGCAGGATTCCCTTTCTGCTGGGAAGAGTTTACTTTTTCTGTTTTATGAAAAAAGAGAAAAGTTCAGCTGAATTTGAAAGAACAGGTAGGGTTAGACCTTGAACTGGAGAAAGAGATGCAATGCAGACAAGAGAACATAAATAAAATTGGTAGAGGCCAAGTGGAAGAACAGGAAATAAGCCTGGAAAAGCAAGTTAGAGTTGGAACTTTTAAAATAACATCTTTATTAAGTATAGTACACAAATGCCAGAAAATCCTTTTTCAGTCATACTATTCACCCACTTAAAGCATACAATTCAATAGTTTTTAGTATATTCACACAGTTGTGTATAACCATCACCACAGTCATTTTCAGAACATTTTCATCACTCCAAAAAGAAACCATTAGCAGTCACTCTCCTCCCCCCTCTCTTGTTCCCCAGGCCCAAGCAACCACTAAGCTACTTTCTATCTCTGAATTTTCCTATTCTGGACATTTCAAATAAATGGAATCATACATGCTGTTACTTGTAACTGTTTTTCTTTGACTTAGAATACTTCCAAAGTTCATCTGTGTTGTAGCATACATCAATGTTTCATTCCTTCATACATTTTGGCTCAATCATATTGCCCTATATGGATATTACACATATTATTAATCCATTCAACATCTAATGGACATCTGAGTTGTTTCTGCTTTGGGGCTATTATAAATAATGCTGCTACGAATATTCATGTGCAAGTTTCTGCGTGGATGTGTGTTTAAATTTCACTTCAGATTATACTTAGGAGTGGAATTGCTGGGTCATTTGGTAATTCTGTCTAATCAGTTGAGGAACTGCAGAATGTGTCCCAAAGCAGCTGAACCATTTTACGTTCCCACCAGTAGTGTAAGAGGGTTCCAATTTTTCCACATCCTTCCAGCACTTGTTATTATTATTTTTTGATTATAGTCATCCTAAAGGGTGTGAAACGATATCTCAATAGAGATTCAGGTTTAAGATTTAAGAAAAGTCAAATGCAATACTAAATGAGACATTGAAGGTTTTAAAAGAAGACAGCAATGTGATCATGCTGTTTCAATAAGATTTATGTACATATCTTCTCTACCCTCTAGGCTCCAAGTTTACTGGACTAAGGGCAAAACACAAATTTTCATATTTCTCATTGTTCCAGCACACTTGTAGCTAACTTATGTTTATTAAAATAAAAATGCAAACATCCAAGAGGTTATCCTCTATTTTGGTTGTATGGTATATTCAAGAGTATTTATGATCCTGCATATAATGAATATAGAAAAAATGGAAGCAAGATCTAGTTTAAAAAATACTCCAAAGCCTATCTTTTTAAAATAAAAAATTATATTTATAGAAACAGTATATGCAATACCTTTAAAGTAAAGGACAATTAGACTAATAATAAAAATAGTCTCCCCTTCCATCTCTCCCTACCTGACTTCTGCACCCAAAGCAAATACTTTCAATTCTTCTTGCTTTTCTTCTATTTAACTCAAATTTTAAAATATACTTTAAGTGTTTGATTTTTTTCAAGATTTAGTTACTTCCTGAATTTTACTACAGGAGATGGCTTAGCATCTTTTGGCCTGTACCCCACCTCCACGGACACATTTCTCCCTGACTCTTTGCCTCTACTTCAATGGTAACATCTCTCCTTTTCAGCTGAATAACAGTGTTTCCATGGCCGTGATTCCACAGATGCTAATCACAATGAACCACACAGTAAACCACAATTACATTTCTTTTTCTCTTGTTATGATGATTTTAAATATGATTTTTAATTGTTCTTGGATGTTAAAAACCGCCTCTCCCCTCTCCTAGCTGTTTATGTACTTGTCACTAAATCATCTTCAAATATCCCAAAAAAACACAATAGTACTTCTGCTAAATGCTCTCTCTTCCTTTCCTTCACCTGTTCCTATCTGAACTGGCTTCTCTAGGCCTGCAGACTTGCTGGGGTCCTAGGTTGTCTCTATACCATCATCTTGTAAATTCCCTTTGCCTGTCTTGGTTCTGGTTCTCCTGGATTCCAAGTCTCCTTTCTCTCCCTCCCTTCCTTCTTTCTCTCCTTCCTCACCCTCTCAGTTCATTAAATAGATTACTCATGTAGGGTGAGCATCCAGTCAGCTGTTCAGATTTTTAGAGATTTTTTAAAACTGAAAATGACTTTACTCTAGTAGTTGGAAATAACTTTGCCTCAGAATTTTGAAAGCATTGCTCCATTGTTTTCTGATTTTCACCTAAGAGGTTCCATGCCATTCTAGGTCCCCATCCTCTATAGGTAACTTGCTCCTATTACTCTGGAAGCATTTATAATCATCTCTTTATTCCTGGCTATCTAGTGTTTCACAAAAATGTATCTTGAAGTATCTTTCAATCATTATATATGAAATACATGGGCCTCATTCTAGAATTTCAGTTCTTTTGGTTATTGAAATTTTCCTTTATTTAAAAACTTCATTTAATCCCAGCAGCTCAGAAGGCTGAGGCAGAATGATCACAAATTCAAAGCCAGCCACAGCAATTTAGCGAGGCCCTAACCAATTTAGAGACCGTATCTCAAAATAAAAAATAAAAGGGGCCAAGGATGTGGCTCAGTGATTAAGCACCCCTGGATTTAATCCCTGGTACCAAAAAATAAAAATGACCAGGCACAGAGGTACACACCTATAATCCCAACAACTGAGGAAACTAAGGCAGGAGAATCTTAAGTTAAAGGCCAGCCTCAGCAACTTAGTGATGCCCTCTGTTAAAAAATAAAAAGGGCTAGGGATATAGCTCAGTGATAAAGTAATCTGGGTTCAATCCCCAGTACCAAAAAAGCAAAAACCAAAATTCTTGTTCTGCCCAAAACGTTTAGGAATTTTGCTTTCCCTACTCTTGCTGGAAATACTATTATTTTGAACTAATCTCTGCTTGTCTTACCTTTCCCTCATTTTTCATATCTTTTTCTCTTTTTGCTTGAAGAACCTTTTCAACTTTGTCTCTAATCTTTTTCTATAATATTGTGATAATTGTACAACTGTGTCTATACCAAAAAAAATCACTGAATTATAATACACTTAAAACAGGTGAATTTTATGGTAGGTAGTTACATCTAAATAGAGCTATTTTAATACAACAACAAAATGAAATACTGAACAGCTGACTGGATGCTCGCCCTACATGAGTAAGACGACTCATTGTACAGTATGTAGAATTTCACTTCATCTGTCCCCTAAAGAGTTTGAACAAATATCTTAGCTTCTAGGGATAACCAGAATAGTTGAGGATATGAGGAATACAAATATATTTTCTCTATCTCTTCCCCCATAGTACAATTTTTATTGCTTATATTATTTTTATAGTATTTACATTCTGTTCTATGATGCTAATTCATTTGATTATTTTCTTGACATAGTAAGCCCCTTTAATATATAAATTGAACAACTCCTTCATTTGGACAATTGTCTTCTATCACATCTTTGAATTTTTTGTTTTGTATTATAGGGGCACTAACTGGTCTTATGTTTGACACTCCTTTATATCTTCTCTATATCCATCACATATTCTCTAATTACTTTATTCCTTCCAACCCCTTCCCTACTCCTCATTCATTTTGATTAGTGCAAACCTTTCCTCCATGGTAAAATTTAATTTTCTAACTTGTCTATTTATTGATATTTATAATCTATGATCTATAGTAAGGTGGTTTGGAGTTTCAATTTATCTCATCAATTTTTCGATCTCTTCCTCTCCCTCATTTGTTTCACTTTTTCATGTTTGCCTTTATTTAATTGAATTCATCATATCATCAATAACATTTTTTTGAGGAGTTCTTTGTTTATTTTTGTTCCTTGGGTAGCATTTTCCCTCATACTGAATTCTTTGTCTTCTGCATAACTTTCCCCCCACCCTTTCTTCTATGGTGTGTTTAAG